CATAATGGTCCCCTCTGGTTTTAATAGCCATGTGTTACATTTGTTTACAATATTACAAAGATGTGTGCAATGCAGAGAGGCTTTTTGGGAACATTTAGAGATTTAATTGAAGGAAGAGGAAATAGGGTAAAATTATTGTTTCTTTAATAGTGACACAAAGCCAACTAGACAAATAACTAGCAATGTTATTTACAGTGTTGCTAGTCCTGCTTGCTACCCTCCAGCAGTCTATGGTGCCTGGGTTAGGGATACAAAGCCAATAACACTAATTTTGCCCTGCTCCAGCAAACCACTTAAATTAGGTACTTGCTTAATTTTAAGGGGAGTACTCCCATGCTTATGCATGTGCTGAGAGGTGCTTTGGTGGATCAGGACCTTGCTGCTGTATGTGACATCAACATACTCTCAAAAAGTGAAACAATAATTCCTTAAAGACTAGCTTATGTTGGCATTCCTGATGTGTCACAAATGTTCTCTTTATTATGAGGGTTGGGCTGAACAACATGAATCCAACAAATACTGCTGTGTACATTGTTGATATCGGGCCATGTAGGTTTTAGGAGAGTCAGGCTAATGCACAAAAGTCATCTCTAAACCTAATTCTGACATCCTTCCACAGGCAGAAGTCCCAGTGACTTCTGTGGAAGTTTTGCCATGGTGAAGTATTCAGTGTAACAGCCTGGATGAAAGTTATGAATTAGATTAAGAAGTCAGACTATTGTGGAGAATTGGTAACATCATTAATTTGGAAAAAGCAGAAATTGTTGTCCTCGTAAAACAATTCTGCTGCAAATTCAGCCTGCTAACGCAAACCCACACTTCCCCTGCTTCTACTGCCTCCTATGGCTTCTGATTGCAGCCTAATTGCAGAGATAATTGACTACTAGATAACTTACTACAAACCTTTTCATTGAGTTCAAATGAATTGGTATCGTATAAAGTGTGCAATGGTTTTGTACTTTCAATTCAATAACTCACAGCAGATTTGAAAAAACACAGTTATTAGATCACTATAATGCAGTTTCTGAAGTGCTTTAACAGCCAAGCTCTAATGTTTTCAAAAATTACATTAGGAGACAGAATTGGTCTTTCTCACAGAACATTTGGGATTGATTATAGGAAATTCCAACTCCTGGTCCAAACTGGAGAATTTGGATCTAGATTCAGCCCTCAGCTCTCCCAGTCTTTAGGCCCATCTTTAATTATACCTGATTCTGTCTAGCATAGCGGATCTGATTCTCCACTGTTTCTCATTGGCCTAGCCCAAGGGTGGCCAACCTGTGGCTCTGGAGCCGCATGCGGCTCTTCAGAAGATAATATGCAGCTCCTGCTAGGAGCCAACTCTGGGGGGAAAATGGTGGGTTTTCAGCACCCACCAGCAACCCTATCAGCCTCCACTCCCTCCCCTAGCGCCTCCCGCCTGCTGCGATCAGCTGTTTTGCGGTGTTGAGGAGGCTCGGGGGGAGGAGAGAGGAGGTGGTGCACAGCCTCACCTCTCCCTCCCCCAGCGCCGCTTCCTCCCTCCCTGTGCCTCCTGCCCGCCACATTCAGCTGTTTTGCGACGTGCAGGAGGCTTGGGGGGGGGGGGGGAAGAGCTAGGACACAACTCACTTGGGGGAGGGGGCAGGAAGAAGTGGAGTGGAGGTGCGGGTGGGGACTTGGGGAAAGGGGTTGAGTGGGAGTTGGGGCCTGGGACAGACCCAGGGGTCCAGCACCCCCTGGTCAGCACCAGTGTCTCCTTGAATAAAGCACACGGTGACTAGCTGGTGTGGAAATGTTTGATCAAAAATTTTTTTACACCGTCTAACAATGGAAGGCAACTGCAAACAAAAGAAAATACACAGATGAAAATCAAGGCTTCCAACAGGAGTGGGAGAATAAGTACTTTTTGGTTGAACGCAAATGGTAAGGCCATGTGTCTTCTTTGCCAAACGTGTATCTCTCAGTTCGAATCTTCAAACTTGCAGGGGCATTTTGCTTCTAGCCATGCACATATGGGTCAAGAATTCCCACAAGGTTCTGAACTCCGCACTTTAAAACTGAAAACTTTGAAAAAACAAACAGATGTAGAAGCCCAGTTCTTCACCAGATTTGCCAACCGATCGCAGACTGTAATGTTAGCCTCCTATTATGTGGCCTGGCACATAGCCCATGTGAAAAAGCCCTACTCTGAAGGAGAGCCTATAAAAACATGCCTCACTGATGTGATTTCAATCCTGTCACCAGAGAATGAGAATATACAGAAGAAAATTTCTGGTCTGCAGCTTTCACGCCACACAATAGAACGCGGAATCTTTGACCTGAACAGTGACATCGAATCGCAACTGCACTCACAACTTCAGCAGTGTGAGTATCTGAGCATCGCTTTGGATGAGTCGTGCCATGCACAGGATAAACCTTATCGGTATTTGTCTGCACTGTGCCTGACGACTGTGTTGTAAGGGAAGAACTCCTCGATACCATGTCACTAAAGGACAGAACTTGTGGACGAGATCTAAAGGAGACGTTCATGTTGGTAGTTGCTAAAAGCCACTGCCTTTACAGAAGCTCACTGCCATTGCAATGGATGGGCTTCGTCCATGTGGGGCACTGCGAATGGATTAGTGGGGCTTTGTAAGTCTGACGAGAGCCTTCCCAAATTTTGGACATTTCACTGTATTATTCATCGGGAGCAACTGGTATTGAAAAATCTCAAATTTGATCACGTTATGAAACCTGTCTTGCATGTTGAGTGCATTTGAGAGAATGAATTTCACAACTACGGACAATTTCAAAATCTAACTGAAGAACTGGATGAAGACGACTCCCCTGGCGATTTGCCATTTCACTGTGCAGTTCGATGGCTCTCGAGAGGTAAAATTATTTCCCGTTTTTTTGAGCTTCTGGAACCAGTAAAATTGTTTATGGAGGAGAAGCACAAAATACACCCTGAGCTTACAGATCCTGGATGGGTTCTAGACTTGGCATTTCTTGCAGACATGCTGTTGCAATTGGATAAACTAAAGGTGGACTTACAAGGAAAATTCCGGTTGCTGTCTGATCTAGTGCAAGGCATCTTTGTGTTCATGAACAAACTGCAGTTGTTTCACAGACAAATGCTTGAGGGAGAGCTGACACACTTTCCCTCAATTTCACAACTTCAAGCCAGATCAAAAGAAGATGCAGCAGAACCCCTAAAACAGAGCACAACTAGGTATGTGGCGTGATTAAAGATCTTAAGGACAGTTTGGGGGAAAGATTCCAAGATTTGCAGCAGAAAAGACCTCTGATTAGCCCTTTTAGTGCTGAAGCCGATTGTCTGAAGCCCCCTTTAGTCACTGATGAGGCAACATCCCAGATGGAAATAATAGAACTTTTGGAAGATGACAGATTGAAATCTGTTCAGAAGACAGAGCAGACCCTTACTTTCTGGAAATTTGTACCCAAGGATAAATACCCCAACATCAGAGGTGCAGCCCTAAAATTAATCTGTTTGCCTCAACCTATCTTCGTGAGTCTGTTTTCTCGACACTCAAACGTGAAATCCAAGCACTGATCCGTTTTGACAGACAGCCACTTAAGAGAACTGCTGCGGGTGAGCACAACTGAACACAAACCAACTTCAAGGGAATTGTTGAAAGCAAAGATTGCCAGAAGTTCCACTAAGTAAAAGATTAAGTTGTTATTGTTAACTATACATTATAAATGTATAATAAATATACATTATCAACTTATATAATTATATTCACTGTGGCTCTTTGGCAATGTACATTGGTAAATTCTGGCTGCTTCTCAGGTTCAGGTTGGCTACCCCTGGCCTAGCCTTTTAAGTACACAGGAAGATCCGCCTTCAACCTATCATTAAAAATAGTGGGGGAAGGGTAGGGGTAATCCTTGCTGCTCTGAAGACACTACCTACCGAGTGGAAGAGCCTAACTCTAGTGACTTGAATTGTTATCCCTTGTGCGAAAGCAGCACCAGGCCGCCGCACGTATGATCCTTCAGAGGACCTGGGAGCTTAGTACAGAGCAATAATTCCTTGCTGTTCTACAGTAACTTCAAAGTGCATGAACAGGCCAAGCCTCCCAACACCTCTGGGGTGCAGGCCCTCACTGGGAGCCCTGTTTTACCGATGGGGTTAGGCGGGGCCAAGACCTCGCACTGTCGATAGCAAACCTGGAAGCAGAGCCCTGGACGGCCATCCCCGGTGCCCTGCTTGCTAAACCAGGCAGCCTCTCAGCTGTTTCTGATCATGCCCTGCTTCACGGGGCTGAACCCTAGAGGTCCTTTCTAGCTTTAGCCCCCAGGAAGGAAGTGTGACGAGGAAGTGCGGAAACTCCTCGGTTGAGTGCTGCATGCCAGGCAGAGCAGGGGAAAGGGCCTGGGTGAGGAGCAGGAGCTGGGGAAATAAAGCAAACTCAAGGCGGCTGCTGCAGGGGGAGTCTTTAGGCTAGTGAACACTGGAAGCCATGTATCCGGCCTGTCATTAAACCCCCATAGCTACCTTCAGGGCTCTTTTTTACGTGCCTGTCTGTGTGGTTTTAGGCACACATTCGGTCACCTGAGAAGTGGCACTTTGGCAGAGAGGATGTTGCTGCCCTGGGTGAGCATAGAGGAGAAAAGCTCACTTGTTTGCTCCCCCTCCATGGAAGCACCTTCCTTTCAGCCCCAAAGCCTTCGCCCATTCCCCCACATGGCTGTAATTACTGCAGCAGGAATGGATCACCTGCAGGGCGATCACTGGCCAGGATTGTTCAGGCTGTCTGACCTCTTTCGATGCCGAATATTCCAGCTTCCGATAGGTTAGAAATGGTCCTTGTTGGGTGGGAGCCGTAGGTCTAAAACATTATCAAAGAACTCTGAGTGGCTGAGATGTCCCCCCCCCTTACTCTTCCCCCCTCCCTCCCATACACACACCACCACCCGCTCCCCCGTCAGCCCCTCCCCTGGCTGGAAGAGGGGAGTTGAAATAGTCAGGTCCTGCTTTGTGAAGAAAGTTTTCTTTCACTGCCTGGCTCAGAGCTGCCTCTGAGAGGAGGACTGATGTGGGTTTGTTATTGCTGGGCTAAGGAGGCACTTTGGATGGTCATGGGGCTGCGTTCAGTCCTTTTATTCTGTGTGATTGTCGCAGGAGTGCCTAGGAGTAAGTAGAAGAAAATATTGTTTCCTCTGCTAAAATCGCAGCTTGCTCGCTCGCCAATGCACAATGTTTCTGCACAGCAATGATCTCACTTGCAAAGCATCTGGGAGAGTGTAAATTATGTTGGGACTTGCAGCTCTTGTAGGAATACTTTCTTGTAGTAACTTTGTCTTGGCTTTCTGTACATCAGTTCTGTATTGCTAGCCTGCCTGGGTGGTGCTTTTGCAGGTGGGAGGGTATCCTGCATACTAAAGAGCACAGTATTACTGTATCTTCCTTCAGCATTAGTTGGGGAAGCCCAGGAAAATGATGGGACTGCTGTAGTGGATACATGCACTCATTACAGAATGATTGGAGTTTATAAAAGGCTGCATTAGTTTGAAGTTTAAAAATGATGGTTACTACAATATCTTGAAAATGAAAGGTTCTTAAACTAGCTGCAAATGAGGGAAACTGTGATAATATTGTCCATTTTTGGCTGAAAATAGATCCGGACACATGCTGTTTCCTAAATGGAAAACAAACAGGATAACAAATTAAAAACAATAAAATAAAATAAATTATTCACAGGACTCTGCTCCCAGTCAGAGACTTAAACTAAGTGGCCAGATTTTCCAAAGGGCTCAGCATTCCTCAGCTCCGTTTGCTTAGCTGGGTGCTGAGCACTTTTGAGAATCTGGCTGTATCATTTAGGTGCTGAGAGCTCTTTTGAAAATCTGGCCCTCTCCGCGAGTGCTGAACATTCTTGAAAATCTGGCCCTCCATGATTAAGGTGAACTGTGTGTGATTTTTGTGTGTTGCATTTATTTCTATGCTCTTGCAAAGGAAATTGCTGATTTATTGCATTTAAAGGCCATTAACTTGATAATGAATCTTTCTACGCTTCCAACCAACTTTTTCAAGAAAGAAGAAACATTTAAATTTTCCAAAGAATTTCCAGATCCAAATTTGGTTATTTAGATTTGTATGGCTGCAATTTTTCTTTTTGTGTATTTTAAATTTCTAATGGGAGTATGAGAAAATGAATCAGAATAGTGTTATTGCTTTCCAAAAGCAGTGCAGTTGGAATTTTAAGGTTTATTTATACAGGTATATAGATTTAGCAAGATTTTCTAGTCCTAGAATGTTATTACCAGGTGTGGTCAATTAGATAGACAATCATCATTCCAGAAATCTTCTTGCTTTCTACTTACTGATTGAACTGAGATAAAGTTTATTTAAAACAACAGTAATCAATTCATTTGCATTTTGCTCTTTTAGTTCAAGTTTGTACTTCCATAAGGGAGTTCAGTTTCTGCAAAGATGTAACAGAATCTTGTATGGGGAAAAAAATAAATGAGTGATAAATGTATTTTGACAGAAATGTAATTTTACTCTTCTGAGAATTAAGCTCTAACTCTACTTCAAGAATGATACAAGAATAGATACCAAAGGGAAAAGCTGCTCACTTATTTTTGTTGCAAAAACAGTGAATTTCCCCCCAATAGTTTTAAAGTCTATATGAAGAGAAGAGAAAATGTGGTTTCAATCAAATAATCTGAATGGGGTTTTTAAATGTGCTAGTTTGCCAAAAGGATTTCCTTAAGGCAGATGGAACATATGAAATATACAACAGCACAGCAATGGCAAGTAAAGAGAGAGGCATTGTTAACTGTTGTCTCCTGTAGGAATAATTGACCTAAGGGGCACGGAGGACCTCGGTTATAACTGGAGGGCATGTTTCATTACCATAGAACTTGTGGAAGAGGTGTAAATACTGCTGTTGTTCTTAATACTGAAGGGAATTATCTTAAACCAAGCTTTTTATAGATTATAGCAAGCTAACGTTGGGCGGTTTTTAAAGAGGTTTAATAGTAAATGATTTATTATAAAAGCAGCAAATTCACTTTCATTTCTGTCCAGGCATGTGAAGGTGCCATAAACAGTAGTGAATCTGCATCACCCATCTGATTTTGGCTGTTTTTACTGTATCAGCGTGACCAAGGTTTGTTAATAGAATACGCGGGACTCAGTCCAACACTGTTTGTTCCCAGTGAATTCCAAGGAAGTTTGGTGTGTGCAAGGAATACAGGATCAGGTCTTGGATGGGGGTCGTGTCCTAGAAGCATCCATAAAAGGGGCTATTCTCATCACAGTATATTTAGTTAACTCCCACTTATTATAACAGTGGAAAAGGCCTATTGGGTCAGATCTTCAGAACTATATTCGTATAAGTGCCCATTGGCTGGACAAACAACAACACAAATCTATGGACCTTTTGCTCACCTGATTTTTCTCTGATGGAGCCTAACTGGTTATTTGAATGCCCAGTCCTGATGTTTGTGCATGCAATTGCAGAAATTGTGCAGGCAATGTGCCACACATGTGCATGCCTAATGGACGATGAAAATCTGACTCTGTTGTCCTGCCCCTTAATGGTTTTTGATCTAGTGCTTTGTCTAGTTGTGTTTGAAACAGATCAAGTGATGGGGATTCTGCCACTTCCCTTGGAAGATCATTTCAAAGGCTAAGCATGATAATGAGCTATGCCATTAGTTTTAACAGACACTGTACGTGCACTGAGATTAAAAAGCAGACAGAGTATCTGTATGTAATAGGCCAAACTGCTCTCTCATTTATGCCTGCGTAACTCTGGCGTCACTCCATTCATTTCAATGCATTTGCCCTCACATCTCTAGAGAGTCACTGCCCTCTCCATGAAGCCTGAATGAAAGTCAGGAAGGAGAATAGACTCTCTAGTGTTCAGGAACGGATGAAACAACAAAAAGTCCTTGTGACGTGATGTTTAGTGTTTGCTCCTCAGCGTGCCGGCGTTGGAAAAGAACAGCTCTAGTGTGGAAACCTGCTGCTGTTCATGCTTCAAATGACACTTGCATTCTCTCTTGTGTAACCCCTGCAATGACACTCTCCTGCTAAGCGGATAATGACCTGAAAGGCAATTGATTAGTTTAAAAATCTGCACTTGGGGGATAAAGTACAGTGTGATTCTTCCTTGGGTTAGACACCCCATTGCTACTTAGACTGGATTCTCAGCAATATGGCAGCAGAATCCTTCAGTGAATGCCTAGAATCCTTCTAGGTGCTGTCCAGTGCAAAGCAATTTTGGGGGGCCCCTTCCATAAAAAAAAAATTGCAATACTATAGAATACTATATTCTCGTGGGGGCCCCTGTGGGGCCTGGGGCAAATTGCCCCACTTGCTGCCCCCCACCCCACCCCCCACGGGCGGCCCTGGGAAAAATAAACCTTCCGCATCTCGGCACAAACCCAGTTTTGAGAAAACTTCTTTACAAGGTATCATTGGTTCTCAGCATCAGCTAGTGCTAAAAGGCACTAAAGCTCGTTAAAAGGGTTGGACAAATATTTTTCCGTCAAAACTTTTTTTGGATCGAAAACTAGGGGTTGTTAAAAAGCAGAAAAAGTCACGGACAATGTCTGCTTTCCTTCAAAATTTGTTGTGGTTTTTTTAATTGAAAAGCTGAAATTAGTCTGCCAAAACCTGAATATGGTTTGGGGTTTCAGAAAAGTGTGGCCAAATATTTGCTGCTTGCTGTGTTTGATTGTTTAAAGAGAGAATAAAAAAATTCTGCTTAATAAAAATCCAAAACTTTTGAACCACCTCAGCTTGTGACCAAATGCCTGAGCCCATCCAGTCAGAGATTTTTCCAGGTTTCTGATACTCTGCTGGCTTCCTTGACTCATATCTGTCTCCATAACGTTGGGTTCATTTAGGTTAGAACATAAGAACAACTATACTGGGTCAGACCAAAGGTCCATCCAGCCCAGTATCCTGTCTACCGACAATGGCCAATGCCAAGTGCCCCAGAGGGAGTGAACCTAACAGGTAATGATCAAGTGATCTCTCTCCTGCCATCCATCTCCATCCACCTTCTGACAAACAGAGGCTAGGGACACCATTCCTTACCTATCCTGGCTAATAGCCATTAATGGACTTAACCTCCATGCATTTATCTGTTTCCTAGAGACTGGCTCCATGGGGTCCCTCACAAACTGGAGATGGTTACTGTGGGTTTGTCTTTAGTATAGCTTATGTACATACTCCACGAACTGAGCATTTGAGCTTGTTCCAGAATCTGGGATGAGCCTATGTTGTGAAAACTGAAATGCTCAAAATAGCACATGCATGTGAATGGACACAGGGTGCTAAAACCAAATTAACCCAGGGGTTCTCAAACTGGGGGTCAGGACCCCTCAGGGGGTCACGAGGTTATTACTGGGGGTCGCGAGCTGCCAGCCTCCACCTCAAACCCCGCTTTGCCTCCAGCTTTATAATAGTGTTAAATATATAAAAAAGTGTTTTTAATTTATAAGGGGGGTTGCACTCAGAAGTTTGCTATGTGAAAGGGGTCACCAGTACAAAAGTTTGAGAACCACTGAATTAACCCTTCTGGAGCCTCGGGGAATGCAGGGGAAGGGGGTCTCCCTTGGTAGGGTTGGGAAGGAGGTAGGCGGTGTAGGATATTGCTCTTCTCATGTGATCCCTCCCCCAGTGGCTAATTTTAAATGAAGCTACCCTCCCCTGACATGAATCTCCCTATGGCACTGAAATTAAATATAGACTATAATTTGGCATTTGAGAAGCGAAAGGGACGGCAGCCGTAATGGAAAAGCTAACAGCTTGGCTCTTCTGCAAGCCTCAAACTGCTGAATGAGCTTTAGGGTAGGGAAGGCTGTGCCTCCCAAACTGCCTGGCCCTGCCCCCTATCCAACCCCCACCCACTTCCTGCCCCCCGACTGCCCGCCTTCCTCAGAATCCCCGACCCATCCTGCTCCTTGTCCCCTCACCGTCCCCCAGAGTCCCCCCGCCCAACCACCACCCCAGGACCCCACCCCCACCAACCCCCCCCGCTCCCTGTCCCCTGGCTGCCCTGACCCCTATGCACCCACCCCCCCGCTAAGTCCTGACAGACCCCCAGAACGCCCACAATCCAACCCCCCTGTCCCCTGACTGCCCCCCCAACCTCTGCCCCAGCCCCTTACCCCCGGCTCCCCCCTCACCCGGAGCCTCAGCACGCCACATCCAGGAGCGTCCCTGGACAGCGCTGCAGCATGGCTCTGGCGGGGCCTGAGCTCCTCCCCGCTCAGATCCGCATGGTAAGGGGGCGGGCCTGCAAGCTCCAGCGGGGCCTGAGCTCCCGCCGCTCGGCCCGGAGCTCGCAGCCCCGCCCCCTTACCACGTGGCTCTGAGCAGGGAGGAGCTCAAGCCCCGTCGGAGCCAGGGACGCTCCTGGATGCGCTGAGGCTCCGGGAGAGGGGCGGAGGTGGGGTCGGGCCGGGGCCGGGGCGGGAGCCTGAGCTATTCTCGTGGGGGCCCCTGTGGAGCCCGGGGCCTGGGGCAAATTGCCCCACTTGCCTCCCCCCTCCCCCCCTGGGCGGCCCTGGTGCAGGCAAGAATGGCAGAATTAGGCCCTTAATTAAAGTATTTCCTTTCCTCTGTTGATAAGAAAAGTAATTACATTTTCATACCCACCCAAGCAAATCTACCAGGGGATTGTTATGTATTTACATTACAGTAGTGTCCAAAATGTGCTCGGTATGGTACAGACATGTAGGAAGACATGGGCTGAAATCCTAGCCCCAGTGAACACAATGGCTAAATTCCCATTGAGGATTTCACCCATGAGGCCTGCCCTGAACAACTGACATAATGGCTGATGGTAATAAACAGAGGATGAGGATGAGAGTAAGTTGACATATCTATGTGTTCTATTTAAAGGTAGCTACACTCAGAACATTACTGCTCTAGAATAACTCAGTGGGTCTCAAAATTTTTCATATTGTAGAACACTTCCCTTCTAAATCCCATACTTTCCCTCTGGCAACTACAGAGCTTAGTTAGATGAAAGAATAATATGAAGGTTTTAAAGAGACAGTGAATACCATTTCTGAGGTTGCTTTGGTAAATCTCTCTTATTCTTGCCTCTCATTTTATGTTTGTGCTGTTTATTTCCTCTCCTGGGGTATAAGGAGTAATTTAATATTCGCAAATCTCCCCTCTTGAAGCTTCCAGTGCATTAACCACTCCAGGTCATTCTGTACTTGGTTTTGTTTATCTATGTGTGCGCTATGCTGGTACTCCTCTAACTTTGGAGTTATCAGAAAATTTGGTCACAGCCACCTTTATAGTAAGGAGTAGACATGATGTGGTGCAGGGTTTTTTTACTTTAGATGGTCAGAAAAGTCTTCTTTAAAAAAAATATATATATCCTGGTCAGTTAGCACTATTTACTGTGCTGATTACTGCCAAAAGAAAAGAATGACAAAGCACCATTTCGCTTGAAAAGGATCTCTTTTCTATTCAGCAGTCAGCTCCACCACGGGTGATAGGAGATATGTACCTTGGCCTACAATGTCTTGTTTATCCTTTGCTTATTAGGCCTTGTCCAGTGCTATTTTATGTGATGATTTTTTTGTCAGAGCTTGGACAAGTTAGCAGGAGAACAAGTTTTGGCCTCACCTTCCATGAGCCTTATATTCAGAAGGCTAAAGTATACTTGGTTTGTAAAGAAGATTAAAAAACAAAACCTGATTTGAGAGTTCTGGGGAGGGATTTTTTATGGCTGACTGTGAAGTCATTTGTTCTTTCCTAAAGGCTGCAGCATGTCTAATGCATGTCTTGAAAATATTAATGGTGACTGTGGAATCTAGAAAATAAAAATATAAACCCCAAGACGTGTCCAGGGTGTGGATAGAAGGCATTTACTTAGATATGGTTAGAATGAGGCATGGCAGAACTTGTAAAGGGGAATCTTGCACTTTGCTTCCACCCATCTAACCAGAGTAATTAGTCTAATTCAAGCACTAAAAATTAAGCTAGTCAAAATATGCTGGAAAAGCTCTAGTGGAAGATGGGACTTTTCTCAGCTTATGGGCGAGAAACAGGAAACATGTTAGTTGTCTCGTTTATTTGCTTGTGTTTTCAGAAAGTGTTTATCCTCTTTAGAGCGGAAGAAGGAAGAAAGGGAAATCATGAGTGTTCATGTGCACATAGTTACCGATGGTTTAACATCAACAGAGGTGGACCAAAACCACCACTCTGAGGCTAAACTCCCCTGAATGAACTTCAGGCCCTCATTAGAACTTTGACTCCTATCTCTATAAGCAGCAGCACCTAAACCCGAGCTCTTCATACACAGATCTCCACTTTGCTGCTCAGGCCTGTAATAATGCTGGTGGTACAGAGACAAGACTCTATTGTAATGCGTACAATGGTGGTTCTTCACTTGGAGCTGCCAGCCAGACACAGACTGTCCCTCTGGTTCTCCGGCTCCCAGAATAATGAGGCAGAACCTGTGCCAGTGGGTCTCACAACAGAGTCCTGGCCTGGACTAAACAGTCATGGAATGAACTTCTGACTCCATTATGTGGCCCATTTAACTCACACATTAAGGCTTCTGATCTGAGGATTGTAAGAATATTTTATATTGTGAAAGATGTTGGCTTCTACCCAATTTAGAAAAGAGATGATGTTCAAATGTTGGAGCTTTTATCTTTTGCCAGAAAAGAAGGCAAAATCATTGTTGCAAAATGACTGTGTGATAACAAGTCCCTTGCTGTATATGGTGTTTTCCCCTAATAAAGTTTTTTCAGTAATTGCTATTAGAGGACTTTGCAATGTATGTTGCTGCTTTAATCTTAGTGTTATTGTAAATGAACAGTTATGGTATCAGTCACTGAAGCCGCACATGGATTTTTTCTTAGTGCATTTCTACAATTAATTCTGATTTGTTGTTGCAGGATCTCAGGAGAATTTAGGCCCGGAAGCTGCCTGTATGACTGAGTGTGCTGGTGAGTAAGGCCAAGCTGGTATTCAGAGCAGGTTTATAGTCACAACGCACGACTTTGCAGTTTGTAACGTGCTGGACTTTTCAGTGGGCATTGCTTTATTGGAAGGATGATAGTAATAACTGAGCTGGGGTTTACTGTTGTTTAGCTAATTTATATTCATGGAGGAAACTGCCTCGCACGGCTGAGTCTTATGTTGCACTGAGTTGCTCTAAGTTAACATTCTACGGACTCAGATCACACACAAGTTAAAACTAGCCTACAGTGTCCTACAAAATATGCAACGCAAAATCCTGCCCTGTCCCGAGTCTCTTTTTCCGCATCCTATCTGCACAGTAGCAAGCTAGGAGAAAGACCTAGCACTCCGTCCACAGAGCCTGGCTATTGCTCCTGGGGATGCTCCACAGACTCAAGGTTTGGTCAGCTAGCTTGTGTGCATGCACCAGTAACCAAAGCTTCCTGCTCATCTTGACAGCAGGTGCTTGAGTGCACACTGCTCCTTTACAAACAACAATCGGAGAATCGGAGAGCGCTCTGATCCCAGGTCCCCCGTATGCTGTCCTGCACAGCCAGTGTGGCTCAGAGTCTTTTTGGTCAGCCATCATTCCAGTCCAACCTCATAATTCCTAACAAAAACCTGGTGTTTTTAAAGGGCTTTCAATTCCCCACTGAGCCTGCAGGTGGAGCTAAAGAAGAGCAACATGGCAAATGTTGTGGCCATCTTTCCCAGGCAGCACCCTCTTAACCTGATGCAAGAGAGAACGTTTTAAACAAACTCTCCTGCTTCTGCTTTACAGTAGTTCCACAGCTAAGATAAAGCAACAAATTTGTGATCTTTTAGGGATTTCACCACTGTCCTCCTGAGTGTCACCGTGGCATGCCCTGGGCCCCAGAACTCATGCTGGTGGAAGGGTTACAACTCTGATCCTCCAGCCCTTAAAGCACAGCTTACTATCATCTGAACTAAAGGAGATTCTTCTTTGACTGTAGCCATATAGAGTCTATGACACACATTAGCATTTCTGACTTTTTTTTAGTAGAGGGCAGCACAGCACACATGCACTAGCCAGTTCATTACAATTAGGTAGCTGTTTTAAATGACATATCTTGTAGGGGATTGTAGTGAAAGAAGCAATATTACCCTGATGCGTGTGTTCAGTGGGAGATAATTACATGGGCTGAAAGCCAAGTCATGCAATCAGATCACAGTTTACATCAAAACCCCTTTATCATTTAAATTGAATCATTCATCATGTAACTGTAAAAGACTTTAGATGAAGACATTTTGAAAGCAGCAACATTCCACATTTCCAGGATAGAGCAAACATATTAATCCTGGCATAGCCACTAAAAAGGCCCATAAGTGCTTTAACAAGGGGTGCTGGGAGGGCTGCTGTACCCCTCTCGCTTGAAGTGGTTTCCCTCATATACAGGATTTACAGTTTGGTTCAATGGCTCTCAGCACCCCTGCCCTGTTACCTTCTTTTGCTGTTTGCTTTTTTCATTGTTTGCCTGCTATTCTCGCTTTCTGAAAGGGAGGGTAGCATTCTGCATAATAAATAACTCCATGTATCAGTAGTAAATCTATTAAAATACAGCTCTGTTGAAATTGAAATGCTCTGTGAAATCCTGCGGATTTTGCCAAAATTTTGTTCAGAAGAAAAACCAGTGGAAAAAAATTCTGACACTGTTGCAACGAAATGGTTAGATTTTTCATTTTAAATGGCTTTGTTTTATTTATTTTTTTAAAAAAATGTGTATTATGGCATTTTAAAAAATAGAAAATGAAATTAATTCCTTCAATTTTGACAAAATTAAATGTTTTCATTGACCAAAACCGGTTCTGACTTGGAACTAGGCTACATTTTGAAATCTTGAAATCCTTAGCAAAACAGAGGTTCCATCATGTTTACAGCATCTAATCATTATCCAGAGCCCTTGTAGGGGAGAGATGTACCGAACACCATGACAGGAAGACATGTAACAGCATATATTACAAAGCATGATTTATTTTCTAAGGCTGGTTCCACTCAAAAGAATACAGTCAATAGCTCAGCGCATAATACAGTCAGGTTCGAACTATCATAAAACAAATATTGGACTGTATCTGCTGGTATGACACTACACTGAGCTTGGGATGTACCCTTTTGATCTACATGCAAAAGAATTAAATCTGTGTGAAATTTTTTTTTTTTTTTGGCCAGTAAAGAATTCCAGTGAATGTGGAATGCCTGAAATTTCAAAAGTCTAAAGTTGTATCACTGTTTGGCCCTATGGTTCAAATCTAACCTACAAATACACTTCTATGCTGTCCCTCTTCAAGAGACACACACAGTATGTTTTACTGAATAGTACATCACTAATGCAGTTCATATGATAGAAGTAAAAGGCTGAAGCTGTTGACAGCCATGTCATTGCTTCAAGCTAGGATCAGCCAGTGAAAACTGGTTCTGGCACAGTGTTGGCTGTAGTGTCTGTAACCTGAAAACATGCTGGGGAGATTGGGTAGGTGTGGGTTTTTCCCTGGGACTAGACAGAACAGGGATTCTCTTTCCTTCTGGCTTGTTCATGAAGCTGAATTTGTCTCTAATAAACTGAATTGTTATTTTTCTGCCTTGCCTCTGGACTCTTACACTACAGTATAATCCCAAACTGGACAATGGCGAGCTGGGGAATGATTTCCAACTGGTTCCCTACACCACTGTCACTCATTGATAGCAACAGAGTTACGCCAATCGACAGTTGTCAGTGGGAGGAAATCAGGCCCCTTTCCATTCAACAAACTTATAGAAGCTTCATCCCACAAGTGGAAGATAGAAAGGACCAAACTGATCATGTGTCCCTAATCCAAACACAACCGCTGCCTTCCCTTTCCCCCTTCTTTCCCCAGCCCAAACCTTCCAGGGTGGTATTTCAAACTGGCAGTTCTGACATAGGGCTCGTCTACACTTACTGCACTGCAGCTGTGCCGCTGTAGCACTTAGTGACGACACCACTTATGCCAATGGGAGAGCTTCTCCCATCAGTGTGGATACTCCATTGCCCCAAGCCCTGGTCTACACTACAAATTTATGTCAGTGTATGTCGCTCAGGCCGTGGAAGCTCTCCTGTCAGCATAGGTAGCATCTTCACTAAGCACTACAGTGGAGCAGCTTCACTAGTGCAGCTACACTGCTGCAGGGCTATAAGTGTAGACAAGCCCCGAGAGGCGGTAGTTGTGTCAACAGGAGAAGCCCTCCTGCCGACATAGCGCCGTGTACACGAGAGATCGGTCAGTATAATTGCGTCACTCTGGTGTGGATTTTCCACACCCCTGAGTGATGTAGTTATTCCAACATGAGTTTGTAGTGTAGACCGGGGCATAGAAATTATTCCACAGTTCAACCTATAACAGATGTGCAGTTAACAGCACATAGATTCATAAAAGTGTAGGACTGGGAGGGCTTGTCTATACTTCTGGCTAAATCGGCACTGATGCGATCGATGCAGCAGTGTCAATTTAGCAGGTCTGGTGAAGACAAGCTAAGTTGATGGCAGAGCGTTCTTCCATTCACAACGTCTGTATGCCACCTCCCCGAGAGGTGGAAGGTAAATTGGTGGGAGAGCATCTTATGCATTAGTGTAGACCAGCCCCAAGGGACCTCAATTGGTCGTCTAGTCCAGCCCCCTGCACTCAAGCCAGGACTAAGTCATAGCTAGACCATCCCTGGCAGGTGTTTGTCTAACCTGCTTTTAAAAATCTCCAATGATGAAGAGTGCACAACCTCTCTAGGTCATTTGTTCCAGTGCTTAACCACCCTGACAGCTGGGAAGTTTTTACATGTAGGAAATGTACTTGGAGAATTGTAAAGTCTTGGTTGTCTCGTGTTGCTGTCATCAAAATATCTTGCTTGGATGGTGGGAAGACTGCTGTGCCATGACACTCCTGCCTTACCGCCCCTCCCTGCTTGTGGTATGATTAGACTCTTAACACTACAGGGCCTTCGATGTTATGGGCCACACTGTGGCTGGGTCCTGTATGAGTGTGCCGGGGGGAAGGAGGGCACTTGTCTTCCCTGTGACCTCCATGCTGGAGCTCCCGGGGGCTTCATACTACTGAAAATCTGGCTACTTCCGTTATGAGCCTAAATGGGAGCAGAGTTCTTCTGAAAATCTGGCCACTTGCTTAGGTGCCTAAATAGCCTAAATCAGTGTTTCTCAAACCGGGGCCGCCGCTTATGTAGGGAAAGCCCCTGGCGGGCCGGGCCGGTTTGTTTACCTGCTGCGTCCGCAGGTCCAGCCAATTGCGGCACCCACTGGCCGCGGTTCGCCGCTCCAGGCCAATGGGGGCTGCTGGAAGTGGCGCGGGCCGAGGGACTTACTGGCCGCCACTTCCAGCAGCCCCCATTGGCCTGCAGCGGCCAGTGGGAGCCGCGATTGGCCGGACCTACGGACGGGGCAGGTAAACAAACCGGCCTGGCCCGCCAGGGGCTTTCCCTACACAAGCAGCGGCCCCAGTTTGAGAAACACTGGCCTAAATCTACCAACGTTCTCTAGATTTGCTGATAAAATGTAGAAGGGCACACACAGGTTTTTGGTTTATTTGTTTGTTTCCTAGAACACAGTGGGCTGAATTTCCCCAAAGGATCCAGATATAGCTATAGGTATTCAACAGCCACCAATACGTTCCTGCAGGGAAGCATCTACAAAAGGAGTGGTATGTCTCTGGAGAGCACAGTGATCATTGAAGCCCTAGGAAAGTGCCAGATGGTCTTAAAAGTGAGTATTGTCATGAGTTCAACAAGTGCCTCAGTGACTCACTGCAATTCATTGACACAGGAGAGTGCCCCTCCCTAGGGTGACTGCTCCATATGAAATATTTGGTTTATCTGCAAGTAAACAAATCTCTAGGACTAAACTCCAGATTAAGTGGTAAAGAACTTTAAAGGCTAAGTTACATAAATCACTCCCTTCCCTGAATAAAACTGCTGCTTTACTGTTGTGCCATGAGAAGTGGAGGAGGAGATGAAGCCGATGTCCTTAAAAGAAACTAAGGTGATTTTTAATCACTTTCAGATCTGTATCAGTAAGTTAAAAATAGCCATGGTTGTTTCTTTGAGAGCGAACTTCTGAAAGGTCTGGGATCTGTTGGGAATAAGGCATGTCTAGCACAGTATAAAATTCACTGGGCCACATAATGCTCCCATTGAACTCAATCAGTAAATTGCCACTGACTTAAATGGAGCAACAGCCCAAAGACTCAGATTGGACGCTTTATCCAGGCCAAATTCAGGTTGGGCATTATGCATAGGTGCCCAGCAGCGGGAGCAAGGAGAAATTGATTGCCTGTACCAATTCTGGCTTCCTTTCAAATTCACAGAGAGGGTAATTCATAGATTCTGGGCACAAAGACCCACAGAGGCGCTACGGTGAGCCTTTAGGTCAGGGGAAGGCCCACGCTTTGATGTGTATATGACGTCTGTTTTATTCATGACCCCTATGCACATGCCGTTGCTCATATCATATTTACTCACTTAATATTCATAATCATATTTACTCACTTAATATTCTTGTTTTACACAGTCACAATGTTATCTGAGCACCTAGGTCCTTGTGGGCGTGATTTGGGGGAAGATTCTGTATTCAGGGATGTGTGTAACTGGAATAATATAAACTGCTTTTATGGCATATCTGTGCTTTCACTGACCCAGACATTGAAAGAAGGCACAAAAATGTGCTTCAAGTGGAGACCACAATTTTATTAACATATCTAACAAAAGACATGGGGATTGAGCAGCTCCCTACAAAATTACCAGCAGGAACTGGGCCAGGGCCGTACCCAAGCAGACCTCAACAGAAGAAGGGGAAGCTACTCCTACCCCATCCATGCCAACTGAATAAAAGGGAGTGGCTGGAGCTGCCATGATCCCCTGCCTACCTCACTTGATGGATAAGGGTCCAGATGAGGGGTCTTTGAGCTGCATGAGATGCTCAAGCCTACACCACCACCCTGCAACACCAAGAACGAGGCCCGGTGCCTTCCAGTGCTCTGTCTTGATTCAGGCCCGCTTATAACTTGGAATTTCCTGCCAAAACTATCTGCACTGGCCTCTCTTTTAGAATCTGCAACAAAAATTAAAACCAAAATAAACAGCAACCCTGGTTCAGCCTCTTGGGCACTGAGAGGCTGGTAGATAAACAGGTCACCACATGAGCTGCCAGTTCTGCCCTGTGGGACAATTCCTTCCTGACCCCAAACAGTAAACAGCCAAATCCCCAGACACCTAGGAAGTCCAGAAACCAACCCAAGCATACCTCCTCCTCCCCTCCCCCTCCCCCGAGCCAATGAGGGTAGACTAAAGGCTGGGTGCTTGCATAATACCCAGCAGGCCAGGAGCCAGTAGTTTCTCCCTGCAAGCCCTGAACCAGCCAGATAAGTGGGAAGGGATGTGGCCACCACACCCACACTAACTTGGGCCACAGGGTGCTTGGGAGAGGAGAGCCTGGATCCTTCTCCCTCTGACCAAGGGCTCTAGAGGTGTCTGTCCCCATGCCTGATCTGGTCAATGCCCCACCCTAACTGGGAAGGGGCACAGAATGTGAGTGCTCAGAATTGGACCTATACTTGTTTTTGGTGGTAACTGGTTGACTTACTGATATTTCTATCTGCTGTGTGCTCTGTGCCAAAGGATATACTGTAAGGTGATAGCTTCACACACCATTTTCTCACTGGCATACCTCCAGCGTCTGCTTGTAACTACTGTACAAGACACACAAATTCCCCCAAGCATGGGAAATGCAGCCTAGCACATTTTGCTATAAAAGTAAAAACAATTGGGGGGTGGGAGAGGAAGAGCATCATAATGCCCCAAAGAAGGCTCAGACAATAGATAGTGTTTAACCTGCTGGGTGTTACTGTTCCCTCGTTGTATGTGACCCACGCAGGATACGAGCCCGTTAGATCCCCAGCTGCAAAGCTTTAGCTGCAGCTTGTGCTGTTAGCTCTGAAGGTCCCTGGTTCAGTTCATGGTTTGTTGGCCAAGTATTTTGTTCAAGGAATTGTGTGTAGCCAAGCTCTAGCTTTTCCCTTTCTGTCTGAAATCAAAATGTCTCTTGCATACATTAGTCTCACCCAGGCTGGGAGGCTTGCTCCCAGATGCAGGTTAGACATGCCCTATAAGGCCTGATCCTGCAACCCTTATTCATGGTGTGTGTGTGTGTGTGTGTGTAAATATCAAGCAAGCAATTTTGGGAATTAATCTGACTTGTGAGTTGTTCACCTGGGTTCAGCGAATCTGCTTGTGTGTGAGTAGCGTTGACTTACATGAGTAAGGGCTGGAGAATTGGGCCATTGCTTTGTATACCATTTTGTATTTCCTTGTCCTTGTGTGAATTGAAGCCCACAAGTTCCTGTTGACAGTGGTGTTTGCTGCACTGGCATTTTCTTTCCTAGTTGCAAGGTGTACGGATAAAGACGACCCTGGCATCCAGAGAGGAGTCTCTGAAGGAAATGGACAGTTTAAGGTAACATGGCTTCTTATCTGGCTCAGTTTCTTTCTTTAGAAACTTTCTTTAGCAGCATCATATTACCATTCTCTCTCTTTCATTTACTTTTTAGCTGTCTGTTGAGCAAGCATTGATCAGGATTACAGCATTGTTAACAACAGCTAAGGGTCACGTGGTTAAAAAAGATCTCTTTGGGATTTTTGTGTAAAAACTGTACATTCAGTGGATGATTACCACGATTGGCTGTGCAACGCCTCAGACACCTAGCTGGCTACTTGCATGTAGAGATACCTGATCTTGATCACAGTTTTGATAGTTTCATGCACACACAGGCCCTGGGTTGCTGAGGTTTTGAAAACCCGACTCTTAAGGTATAATCTTGGAGTAGTTTATATTTTGCGTGATGAAAATATGCTTTGTAGCCTTCCAGAATATTTAAAGGACATTTTTCAAATGTCAGCTTCTTCCTTGTATATTTCTTAGTAGCTCATTCATAGCATGCTGTTACTGGGCACCCCTCTGGCTAACTAATGTACAGACATGTACGGGGATGACTATACAATAAGACCCTTACAAGCTTTGGAGGGGTGGTATTTTCCCAGAAAGCTGATGTTCCTTGCATCATCAAGAAAAGCTGTTTTGTTGTCTGGTAGGCTGAGCTGGCTAATCTCCCTGTATTGTCCCTTGGCTTGGATTCCCAGCCTTTAAATAACACAGAGATCTGCACCAGGCCCTCAAAAATATAATTAGTTCAATACGGAGGGTCAGAAAGAGCACGTTTTGAGTAAATGCATTGCTTTTAAAAATATTCATTAGGAAAAGCTTTTGTTCCACAATATGAGCATTGATATCGGAGTTCAGCTAGTTTCAGGCACAGATGCACCTTCCTCTGGAATGCTGGCTGTGGGGATTTCTGTAGAGATAAGAGCTGTTGTGTCTATTGTTCTCTGCAGAAAAGCCAAAAATGCAATGGCAGAAATGGTGAAAAAAGGATTCACTGAAGCTTGGCTACTAAAAATAATTATTCAGAACAGCGACACCTTATTTGCATTCTCTTCAGCCTAGTGTATATACTGTGGTTTAGCCAGCCCTCCATACATGCATGCAACTCCCGCTGAATCTAATGGGACTCACAGAGGCATATCTATGGGAAATACCCTGGCTCTAGACCAGAGGTCTCAAACTCAAATGATGACGAGGGCCACATGAGAACTAGTACATTGGCCCGAGGGCCGCATTACTGACACCTCCCCCCGTGCCGGCCTCGGCCCCACCCCCACTCTACCCCTTCCATGAGGCCCCACCCATTCCCTGCCCCCATTCCAACCCCTTCCCCAAAATCCCCACCCCAACTCTGCCCCCTCCCTGCCCCCAGGGGGTACAAGAGGGGTGTGGCAGGGGCTCAGGCAGGGAGTTGGGGTCTGGGATGCAGGAGGGGTGAGGGGTGCGGCAGGGGGTCAGGGTGCAGGAGGGGTGCGGCAGGGGACTCAGGGCAGTGGGGGGAGCTGTGCGGGGTGGAGCAGGGGGTTCAGGGCAGGGGGTCAGAGTGCAAGGTGCGGCATGGGGCTCAGGGCAGGCAGGCAGGGAGCCTGCCCTGCCCCCACTGCGCGTCAGGCCCGAGCCGCTCTAGGTAAATGCGGGGGGGGGGGGCGCGAGGAGCTCGCGGGCCGCAGAAAATAACCCTGCGGGCCGCATGCGGCCCCCGGGCCGCATGTTTGAGATCCCTGCTCTAGACACAGCCACATCTCCCTTGGCAAGAACTTGATCTGGATGTCATTCCACAAATGACATTTTTCTCTGAGGCGACTTTTTGCTCTCAGTGGTGGGAAGAATGGTTCATTTGGTAGGGAAGGAGCAAATGAAATGTCTCTCTTCCACTGATTCGCCCACAATAGGAGCAATCCTTGTGATAGGAGTACAGTAGAACCCCCTCTTCACAGGGATACCAGAGACAATGGCATTGGAAGAATTTTTGTAATGGGGGGTGCTGAAAGCCATTGAACAAAACTGTAAACCATGTATATGATGGAATCAAGTCGGGGCTGCTGCTGCACACCCCCCCCACCCCCCAGCACCGCTAGTTCCAGCACCCCTGCCCATGGATGGCCTTTCCTTCCTTGTTCAGAGGAATTCCTGATGAACAGAAGTCAACATTTTAATGCTGGAACTGCCTACAGAGCCCCTCATGGCCATGGAATTGGGCAGAAGCACTATCTACCCTGAGATAGGGACTGAGTTTGCTGCCTGTCCCATGCTGGCAGCAAGGAGAGATATATATGACTCCTGTTATGGTAGCCAGGCATGTGTATGCATCATGGAAGGAGCCATTAACAACAAGTCTGTTGGGAATAGGGTGACCAGATGTCCCGATTTTATAGGGACAGTCCCAATTTTGGGGCCTTTTTCTTATATAGGCACCTATTACCCCCCACCCCCATCCCGATTTTTTACTCTTGCTATCTGGTCACCCTAGTTGGGAAGCCATTCCTTCCCTTTCTGCATGTACCACAGGTATTGAAGGGCAGTAAGGTATCAGAGGGACAGTATGTAACTGAGACACACACACCATGCATGGCCCAAGATTCACTGAATTACCACAAGTCTTCACCATTAAGTAGTATTACTGTCTTCCATTCAGCAAGAGCTGTTGCCATTAAGTATACTTAACCTTAAATGGGTTCCTTGGGAGCTGTCCTGATTATGTCCCAATTAAGTGGACTGGGCTGTGTTTCAAAGCAATTCGCTTGATAGTTTGTTTTTTTGAAGTCTTGTAGGGTACCAGATGACTTTGTGAAATAGGAGGGGCTGTTATAAAGTGTGGGGGTATGTGACAGAGTGAGCCAGTCCTATTGGAGGGACGCTACCAAGTCAAAATGTCTGCATCCATCAAAGCTCTCAAATTCCCATTGCAGCCAGTGTCTGAACCTAGCAGCTGTGAACTCCTTTGTTGCAGGGAAGTACTAGAGCAGCATCCACTTCATTTTTCTTTCCATGATGGGAAAATTCTGAAGATTTGCCCCTGGCAGCGGGAACAGGCCTGGGTGCTGAACATCAAACGGGGCATTCTCAGCGTTCTTCAAACCTCACCTGCAGCTGCTGGCGGTGGAACTGTTGAAGAGGTGCGCGTTGTTCTACTCCAGGCTGGCTTTTAGCTATCTCCTTTTTAAATGACCAAAAGTTGTTGCCGCTTCATGGACAGTCAGTAGCCTCTGATGCAAGTGGACACATCATAAAACTGGCTCTTTTCAGCATTCTTGTTGGAAGTCTAAGCAGAGCTGGCTCAACTACTACTCTGCTACCCTGGAAGGTGGCTCCTTTTTGCTCCAGAGCAGAGCAGGGTAGAGTGGTGGAAGGAGACTTGTGCTGTACCTATTCTGTGGGCAAAGTCCAGACTTTCCTAACCAAGAGCCTGATTCTGCGCCCACTGAACTCAACAGGAGCTTTGTCATTGATTTCAAGGGGTTGCGAAATCAGGCTTCAAGGCTCTTAGCTGAGCATCATTTGAACACTATGTTTGAAAACATAAGGTCAAATTCTGCTGTGTTGCACTAAGGTAAATCTGGAGTAACTCATTGAAGTCAGTGGGTTTATATGAGTGCAATACAGCCATATGAAGTCTCAATGGCACTTTAAGCATGTGCCTAATATTAAACATGTGGTTAAGTGATGTCCTGACTGGGAATATTTTTCTGAATCAGGGCTTAAGGGACAAAACAAGTGGAGCAATATGTAATATGTGTTTAAGCAATTATGTAATTAAAAAATTTTCAGATTGAAGTTAAACCCTCCAATCCGACTTTTAAAATGCAAGGTCATCTCACCAGGCCATTTTAAATGCATGTGCCTGCCCATGGTATCTGTGGCAAAGCTAATGCATTGCAAGGGACAATTCAGTTCCCTGAGCCTTTGCTACTTCAGGAAAGCAATTATAGTTAATAGCTGTAATGATCGATATACTCTGTTTGTATTGTGTGTGAGTATATGTAGATAGGTAGCTTTATTGGTTTTGTATGTTTGTTACTAGATGGATATTCTGGGAAAATGCCCAACCAACTATCAGCGGAAAGGCTCTCTTGTTTTGAAGACAAAGGACTTAAATCTGTGTTCTCACCGGTATTCAGGTTTTATTTCCCTGCAATCCATAGCTCTGCCTAATGTGCTGGTAAGTTTTGGGGGATTGGTTGTGGTCCTAACAGGAGTCCTTGCTATTTTCCTGAAGTGATTAAAAAGGGCCAGGCCTGCTAAGTATTTATAACCAAATCCTGATGTCAAATATATTTAGTGACGTGTGTTTCTGCTAATCAGAATGTTTCTGATTATTTAAATAAAAGTTACTCAGGCCCAATTACACTTTATGTATGTCCATACCTCCTTAAATCCTCAGAAATAAAACCATGTTAGATAGTCATTGGGTTTACAGTTTCCTTTGTTTTTGCTGAGATTTGCTGTTGTATTTAATGAACATTATGTGACAAATACAGCATGTTCCTATATGCTCATGCAACTTTAACTCTGCCCCCTTGCATTATTGCATTACAGTAACATCTTTAATGGCACAATCACAATCGACTGTATTATCAGGCTTTCTTCATCATTTAATGCACAGGTTGGACAACACATAGTCAACCTTTCGATATATCTGTCTGAGGTTTTTCTGAGAGCCCATCTCCCTAGTTTTTAAGTAGCAGATGAGGGCGCTGATCAGTATTTATTTTTTTATCCTCATCGTTCAATGAGCAGATCCCAGCCTCATTCATAACACACCATTCCCCCTATGCAGTGAGTGTAATAAGGGTCTTCTGGACTCTGGATTCAGTCACTACATACACCTGGCTTTTTGACTACGTGCGATCTCTATGCAACTGAGAAAGGTCCTTTGGAATGGCAACACTTAAATAACCCAAGTAGCAGACAGTTTTAAAACTGATTCTGAGCTCTTCTGGCAATTAATTTTATTGATCTTCTTGTACTGAGTCATTAATCACATAACTGATTAGCAGACAGCAATGTATGGAGGGACTGGATTGGTTAAAACTCATGGGTTGGATAATCCTCCACCGCTCTAAATATATGGTGCTTAAAGAGGTGGTTTAAAACTAAAATTGGAGGGGAAAAATAGAAAGCTGTGGATGAAAAAAGGCGTATGTGAGCTAAGTGTCATGTTTTTGGAAAAATCACTAACAGTTGTTTTAAAAACTTAAGGCTTTCCCAAGCACAATCAGTGTTCATGTCTGTTTTTTTTACAAACGCTAGCAACAGAAATAAGTCAACCACACATACTGTACCAGCCAGCTGTCCGCTACTTGACATGAATAGCTTTTTGTTGCACTCAAACCTTTGCTGGCAAAGTAGACCTGGTAAAATTGGTGCCTTATGGAATAAAATGAAACAAGTCCAGTTCATAATGAAAGTTGGTGTGAATTCCATTTCAGAAAAGGGAAGTGCAGGTCGGAAATTGGGACCTTATTAATGTATCCCTCTCTAGGAATCACAACAGGTCTAGACAGGAATGTCGCAGAGCTTGGGTCCTCTGTGAAGTCTGTGTTTCCCAGAAGAGATTGTGTGAATGGACACAGGTTGCAAAGAGTTTCTCTGAAATGTTTGTTTCTCTCAGTCGCAGCAGCAGATCCTGTCCTCCAAACTGGAATGCGCTCAGAGCTTTAAGGATGGAATCCTGGCAGAGGCCAAATGCACGGAATCCAGTCTTGTCACACCTTTCTCTAGGAAGGGCAGTGGGGCGAAGACACAGACACAGTCCTCACTGAAACTACTTCAAGTGGAAGCAGAGATGTTGTACCAAACAGGTTACTTGATATTTCCAGTAACAGCAAATTAAAGTGATTTCCTGGGGAGAGGTGGAAAAAAAAGTATGTGGGCTGCCTCTTGCCTTCAGTCTGCCTGTAGGAACTCCCTTTTTACCAGACCTTTCCTTTCATGTGCTAAAAGGCATGGAAGGGTAGACTGTAACTGTGGATCTTGGGCTGTTGCCCATTGCCTGCTCTGGGAGACAGGGCCCTGAGGTTCTATAGGCCTGGAAGAAAGTGAGTCTCCAAAAATGGTGAGGCTGGTATACAAGTGAGAGCTCGCAGATCTGACTTCCTCCATGGCCAACTCCTGTTCCGTGTCGTTCCTAACCCTGGACCTGCAGCCATAGGCACCGACTTCCCCTCTGCCCTGTGGGTGCTTGACACCCCCTCCCCCCGCCCTTGGCCCTGCCCCACCTCGCCCCGCCCCAAGTCCACTCCCTTACCCCAAGTCCCTGCCGTGCCTCTACCACCTCCTCCCCTGAGCGCGCTGTGTCCCCACTCCTTCCCCGCCCTCACGGAAAATCCTAAGTGCCACCAAACAGCTATTAGGCAGTGGGTGGGAAGCGCTGGGAGGGGGAGTAGCGGGGACGCGGTGCGCTCGGGGGAAAAGGAGGTGAGGATGGGGTGGGGGCAGGGGAAGCTTGACTGCTTGTGGGTGTGGAGCACCCCCTAATTTTTCCCTGTGGGTTCTCCAGCCCCGCAGCACCCACAGAGTTGGCGCCTATGCCTGCAGCACTGATTCAGGCCCTCCCCAATGCACATACTCCCCCTGCAGTGGCAGAGTGTGATGCTTAGCTCTCCCCAGTGTATGGTGCCTAAAATATCAGAAATTCCAATGGACTTCAAAGGAATATGCCAAGTAGAGCCCCTGTTTCCATCCATTTCCTCATCTCCCTGGGCCTGTCTCCATTGGCAGAATGAATCTGGTGAATTCAATGGAAGGTTTGCGTGAGTAATGATTAAGGAGTGGAGATCTAAATGGGGAAAGCTTTTATTTTACTGGTGCATATTTCCCTATAATTTATTCTGTTTTTAAAAAAATCCTAATTTCTCAGAATATCCATATACATATGCTGACATAAGAAAACAAGGCCCCTAAGAGTTTATAGTAAGAGTCCAAACATGTCTCTTTGGCACCCAACATTCCAGTTGAGTTGACTGGGAGTTCAGAAATAGAGGATCGGGCCGGTAACAAGACATAAGCAGATGGGGAGTGATGAAAACAGGCAGGCAAGGTGTGGGAAAGAGAGTATGTGATTGGTTTTTGTTTCATGTGTGTCTTGTTTGTTCCGTGTCTTTCTATGACTTTTCCTTGCAGGTTATATGCTCCTTTAGGCAGTGTACTTAAACACATGCTTAATTTTAAGCATGTGAGTACATCCGTTGACTTCAATTTAGCATATATTTTAGAATTTTGCTGAACGGAAGCTGTAGGTGTTGTCCTCACTGCCAAAAAAGGTGTATTTTTACTGTGGTCTAACTAATACTTGTTAGCTGTCCTCTGTTAAATCCTAGTGGAGACAAAACATGGTAGTTTTTAATGTGAGTTAGGTGGGCAAGATCAGCGCTAAATCCCTGTCTATGGTTGACCTTATTTATTTAACTTGCAAAACTACAGTGCCTTGTCTACACTAGGATTTTACATAAGTATTAATTATCCCACAGTAAAAACACACCTTTTTTGGCAGTAAAGACATAGCCTCAGAGCATAAGATTCCCCAAGATTTAGTGTTAGCCACAGAAAATAGTTGACTGCTGCATAGTTGGTTTTTTCCCCATGTGTTTCCAGTGGACTCCAATGATCTCTATGTGAGTAATATGCTGTATGAAAGGGAAGAAAATGAGAGGCCATCCACAGGAGAGGAAGTGGCTGAACTGGTGCGGAAGCTCTGCTTAGCACACAGCATGAGTTTTGAGGTAAGCCTTTTTTTATACAACATCAACTTCATGTTCTTTAGTGGCATAACCAACCATTTGGTGCTATGATGTGGTTCACACATGTAGTCCATGACTCCCAGCAAGGCAGGTTAATATCCTAATGTCGTTGTCCCTTTTAATCATTCCATAGGAACCAAGCCTCGGTAGGAAGGGTGTGAACTCATCTGGGATTCAAGAGGCATAGGATGATCTTCTTATTTATTAAGATTAGGATTGTGGTAAGCATGGAGAGGTCCCAGGCAGAATCAGGGCTCCATTGTGCTAGTACTGTACAAATAGAGGAAAACATGATCACTGCCCTGGAAAACTTACAATCTAAATTGAAACAGGGTATAGCAAAAAACCATAACAAACAATGGGAAGGAAGGAGGATATGGGTAACAGCAACAAGATTATATGGATTTGTAGGTCAGTTACTGCACACATGGTTCCAAATCATTTGAAAGTATTTTTTTTAAAGAAAGAAAATCAGCTACTCCTGACTGCTGCTCACATCTACCCATTATTAACCTGCTGACTTCTTGCCGGATTCTGTTTCTACCCCGTCACAGGTTTCCTTTGTAGCTTTGGGCAAGTTACTCAAGCTTTCTGTGTCTCAGTTATCCGTCTGTAAAATAAGGCTCATAATATTTCCCTCCCTTAGTCCCCTGGAGAAGTAATTATAGCTAGCGTGTGTGAGGGGCTCAAATACTATGGTGGTGAATGCCATTGTAAAGCTTGCACATATATAGGATTAAATAGTGGTTGTTCCTTGCAGTGTAGTTGCCCAATGCTTAATGCTTGTTTCCATAGGAGTGTGTCCAGTGTCCAGGGTCATGCTAAATGCTTTTAAAATTGGTACAGAATTATTCATGAGATGTAACAGGAAAGACTCAAATATCTATTCATAATTATAGCTCTAATGTAACCATATTACAATTGCTGTGTGAGATCATGCTAACTCACTTTAAAGCAATAGGGTAAAGGTGACCACAATTTCTTTAATTTGTTGCAAAATATCTGGTTTCCTATATCACACAGCTGGAAAATGATTATATATTTATTTAATATGCTGAATAGATTTGGGCCAAATTAATCCCTGGCATAACTCTTTTGCATTCATTTGAGCTTCATCAGAGTTGAGGTTTGGCTCAATTTGTCCCTATTAGAACTCTTTCAGGAAGCAGAGAGGAGAGAGAATGGTGTACTGTAGCTACCTTTCAAATCGGTTCAGTGTTTAGGTCGTAAAAATATATTCATTTATTTATCCTTAATTCTTTCCAAAATAAATATCTATTTAACTAACCTTTTTAAAAGGCTGGAAAAATGTATGAGGTGCCACTTTATATGTAATAATTTGAAATGTCTCAGAGTTTCATTACTCTGTATTAATTTTAATAAAATAGGAGAGTGATGCTTTCACGTGGTATATAGCTGAGGACCCAAAGTGGAATGTTTGAATTAGCAGTTAGCATTGTCATAAAGCACAGGCTGATAGGTTTGAGTACTGCTGGCATGACCTCGTGTTGAGATTCTCTTCCAGCCTCCAGAATTGAGATGAAAGATCCCCGTAAATGGATTTGTTAAATGTAAAGGGTGTCTTGGGAACCTCCACTCATCATTTGCTGTCATACATCTTTGTTTTTTGGGGGTCAGGGAGATGATGGCTTCACTCTTTTGCTCCGTTCGTTATTCAGTCTAATTGTGTAATATAGGGACTAGGGTGATAAAGTGGTGTTGTGAAGGGCTTGATCCTTGATGTCAATGAGAGTTTAGCCTAAGGTCTGTGTGATTTGTTGTTGCAGTAATTGAGGGGCCCCAGTCAGGGATATAGGGGGTTGTCCATAGGCACTGTCCATGGGCACTGTCCATGCTTGCAGTCCAAGGGGGGGTTAATAATCTGACCCCTTACTTACGTTTCAATTACCATAAAGATTATGGATCACATTCTGCTCTCAGCTATGCTGGTGTAAAAGAGCCACTCCAGATTTACATCAGCACAGGGTGAGTGGAGAATTTGGCCCTGTCAGTCCAATCTTGTAAAGCACGGATCTCAATGAGAGCTGCGGGTGCTCGATGCCTGGCAGGACTGAGCCCACTTCCATGGGGCGATGACTGTGGATTCGGTGGTGCGCCTCAAGATAGCCTTAATCCCCTCAAGCCAGTCTAGCCTACTTCAAGCAAAACCATTGCTGCTGAGCCTTAAATGGCTGTGTGTGTTTGTGGTAAGTTCTAGTAATAACCTACAAAGCCGCTTCTTTCTGGGGAGAACTTACTTATCAGCTGTCTGCACACCTTGAGAAATAGGAACTTCCCAATAAGAATCTCTCCCCCTCACCTAAGGCATTATGAAGGGCAGATGCCATTAAAATATGGGTGAAATGTTTTGAGAGCCCCATGGGCTGCAGCAGTGCAAGCTTTTGGTGCATCATTGAGCTTCCACTTTACATTGGAGGGGCCTCCATGATAAGTGAGAGGCCTGTCTGTCAGCTATGTTCATTCTCTCCTTGACTTCTCTGTTAGACTGGCAACACGAGTGTCAGTTCATATTGGTTATGTTCTTTGTAATGTAGATACCTGTCCAGTGGGAAGTACAGAGATCATCATGATGCCTTTCATGTAGGGTACTGAGCAGTCAACAGATGATGTCAGATCACTACTGACCTGAGGTGAATTTATAGCAGTGACCTGAAAGAGAGAGGCTCCATATCCCATTATGTTTCTTGCCAATAATAAAGTAGAACAATATGAAAAAAATAGATATAAAAACCAAAGACTGTGCTTGTCACTTAAATGTTACCTATGTTAAACATATAGCTAAAGAAGCGGTATGGTCTAGTGGGTAGGGCTGATCTGGGTTCTATATCTGGTTTGGCCACTGACCTGCTGTGTGACCTTGGACAAGTCACTTCTGCCTCAGTTTCCCCCCCATATTTTTAGATTAACTCTTTGGCGCAGGGATAGTCTCTTAATTAATGTGTGTATATACAGCACCTAGCACAATGGGACCTTGGTCTCCATTGGGGCCTTCAGGTGCTACTGGAATACAAACAACAACAGTTGGGGTGAAATTTAACCCCGGAGAAGCAAATCCTTCTGGCTCACTTAAGCCCCAAAGGGACCCAGGTAAAGGAAGGTGAGGCACAGGATTTGGGGAGAGTATGGAGGGCGTGCATACTGCCCTGAAGTTGTGGAACCCAGCTCTGCAGGGGATTGCTGCCTGTTGTTTTAATATAAATATACAAACTCTCTTGTCTCCAGTGAGGGAGTGTGGACCTCTCAGGCAATAATTGGTTCTGGTCAGTGGTTAATGAGTTCAAATGGTGAGTATAGGTATTTGTTCAGTGTAGCATGAGATTTGGGGTTAAGGGATAGGGTTGGGGAGAGAGGTCACAGTCACAATTGGAACAGGGGGACTCCAAGTCAACCATGCTGAGTTACAACCTCAGTAGTTACTCCTCGCCTATTAGATGGCTATGATTGTTTGACCCTTGTATCACAGGCCAGCAAAGGCCAGTGAGTAAGGGTAAGGCTGGGGAGAAGGAAGGAGGACTGCCTGGATCTTTGTTGGCATGATAGAAAGTTCCCTGTCTGAGTATTAGGTAGTTCCGCTACCCCTTTAGCTGAACAGACGGGAGCTAAGTGTGACTAGCGGAGCTATAAAAGTAATCTCTCCCAGTAAATGAGTGATTAATTTTATATATGCTGGACCTTGCAAAGAGAATGTGTGATGGCATTTAAGAACAGATTATGAAGCTCTGTGCTGTTTGGAAAATGTCATAATACTGCCACTTTGGACTCAAAAAGCTATTTCAAATAAGGTATGGAGCCCTTTTAAAATGCAGAATCCAGGATAAAGTGTCCCCAAGGGAATGATAGTTAATTTCCCCAGTAGCCGTTGAGTGTCCTGTGTGTCTCCAAAAAGCCACACTGATTTCTTGTATGGGAGACTTGTTTTGTAAATTGCTAAGATTAGCACAAGTAGCTGTTGTCTGTTCAAATGCCCAAAAGAGAGTTAAATTATTCATAATATGCATGTCCCAACACTGGAGACAATTGGTTGTCAGCTGTTTTCAGTGTTCCATGAGACTCCTTCTGTGTGACAAGAAGTTTGAAATGGGACCTGTATTATTCCCCCATCCCCCTTTTTCTGTTTTTCATTCACCTCATTCCAACCAATATAATGTCCTATGGGCCAGGAAGGGAGTTATGGGAATGGTCATGGCGTTGTCTGGGAGACTGAATCCTTGGCATCCATGTGTCGCTTATTTGTCTCCCTATTGTCTGGCTCTGAATGAGGCAAGATTATGCATTTCGTTCAGGAAACAAAAACAAGAATAAACAGAGAGGAAAATCCCCCAAAACAGTGAACAGTGCGAAGGAGGAGGGGGAAATTGTGTCACTCCCCAGGAAGCCGAGGGTTTTTAAAATGCCATTATGAGAATGGATTGAATTTCAATGTGGATGGAGATTAGCTAATGGACCATTAACAGAACAAGCGCAGAATAAAAAAAATGTCAAAGAAAGGAGAGAAGCAACTGTCACTTTCAGAGACTCTTGCAGTGAGGCTCTGATGCAGGTTCTGCAGTGGCCTCCATTAACATTGTGGTACTGGATTGACAGCCCTTGAGAACGCCGCCCTCTATTCACCAAACAGGTGCAGCATGGGCAGTGGCACAGCTAGCTCCCCCACACTGCCCTATTACTGCTTTCCCCACCAACCCCCAGCTCTGACCTGGATGGGTGACCTCTAGGATCAAGAGGTTAGTTTGTTCTCCATCCCCATTCATTCCTTGGCCTCACTCCTAAAGTGTTCAGAAAAGTTGCTAATCAGTACCAATTTGGGTGGTGTCTATGGTGTGGACACTTGTGGGCTGTGAGTTGGACTCATGGCTTTTGACTCTAGGGAGCAAAGCTGAATCCTACCCTGGTAACATAGGTATTGGAAGAGAAAAGGAGATGGGGAGACAGTATAGATTGCTTTGCTTTTAGCAGCTACG